ACAATGGTCCACTGCTTGATCAATACAAATTTCAGGCAATAATGTAAAATTTTACTTCTGTAAAAGTTTAAAGCCTGATCTTTTATTTTCTAAAGTTCCTTTGCCTACAGACTTCATTTCAAACTCCATTTAAGATTTATTTTCTGTGCATAAGTTAGGTAACCCAATGGAAAGTTGTACTATGAAACTATTAGGCTGATAATTTATTTTAAACTTTCTTTTGCGTTATTTTACTTAGAAAATCAAGATGAGACAGTAAGTCATTTGACCTCCTTTATGGATCCAACAGTTAGAATATGGTGGATCCGTACACCTATTTGGCAAGAGCTTAAGAACTAAACTATTGTGCAGACGTCTGTCGTGTTACAAAAGGCTTCCACATCAAACATCTATGCATGTCCATAGAAATATAAGAGTTATGTGTTAAAATTGTATATCTACATTTGCGAAATAAATTCATTATAGTAGTGATAGGTATGCTATCTTTCCATAAAATTAGTTTTGATTTGCCACATCTTTGAAAAACGGCTCAAAATTAAACAGCTAGGCTGAAGACAGATGGAATATTTGGTTGACAAAGCTTTTATATTGATCAGCATGAATTGCTAGATTTAATAGCAATAGGTTATGGATGTACAGAATTATCATAATGATTCAAGAGGAGCTTTCGAGAATTTTCAATGATGCGCATGAACTTCGTTATTGTTGGCCAAAATTATCAAGACAATTCAGGCATAGTTTTGAGAATTTTCAATGATGCACGTTGTACTGACTACTAAAAAATTCTGGCAGATTCCACTGGATATAACGCTGAAATACTGTATCAGTCAGGGCCGTCATGAGAGATACTGATTATTCAAATACCACTGAAATTGCAATCATATTCTTTTTTCGGTGAATTCTTCTATACTGGACATCAATAAAAGTACTTATTCCAAAGTATGGAAAAAGCATTTAACAATTTCTTAAGTTAGGATTTAAAGATTTGAATAATCTCAGTATGTTGGTTCTTATGTCAACTGTGTGGAGAAACAAAATTATTTTTTAAGCAAAGCCTAAACAAGTTAATAGCTTATTTTTAAACAAATATTCTTTTTCAAATAACGGTTTTTCTGCAATGATTGTTGACGTGCATCATTTAATTTACCCTTTCTAAAAGATTACTCATAAAGTTTTTTTTTTTTTTTAATAATTCAATTTATTTTTAAATAATGATTTGTAATTTACTCAAAGTTACCCGGTACAAGAGTTACAAATTTTTAGCTTCTTAGGAATTAACATTTCTGAACACAAGGTTAGGTTAGATACGTTATTTAATTACGGCAAAGCCTCGAGGGCTATCTGCCTAAGGGGAGGGATGCCTTCATAGAGGACTTTCTAAGGGAAAACTGGCTCGAATACACATTACACATGGGGAAAACCACGAAAATACCCATGCAGCCAGCCCGTTCGCGGGATTCGAACCTCAGACCGAACTACCAGTGTTCAGCGACTTTATCGCTTGGGCGCTTGTAGGCCCTTTCTGAACACGAAACAGTATATATGTATTTATTCATATTTATATGTAAGTATGTTAATAACATATTCATTAATTTACTTTTAATGAATATGTGATGGAAATTTCTTTATATTGAAAACCTGTCTCATTATTTTTGAAATGATATAAATTTGGACTTGCGGCTCTCGAACGTTCATAAAATCTATCATGTAGCTCTCCTCATCTTGAATTTTGGCCATCCCTGATATATACATTCATATATATATATATATATATGTCATGGTCACTTTTAAGTACAAAGACTTGTATCTTGAAATGTGTCCAAACAATTAAGGTAACATATATATTGGAAGAAAAGCAATCAAGGTACAAAGCAGGAGGATGTTTTTGGAATTATAATCAAGAAAATTCCATTTACTCATTGTTAGTTTGGGAAATTTAGAGTTTTGGAGCCAAACTCTTATTTACTATGTTTAAATTCAAACTCTTATTTACTATGTTTAAATTCATAGATTTTTAAGTTTTGTTTTATTCTTATTTTATTTTTAGTAAGCTTACTTAGTTAAATAAAGTGCACGAAGATAATTATTTGGAATTTAGTAAAATTTCTCATGCTAGCCCACATAATGAAATCTGAAAAATACCATACCTGAGAATAAATTATAAGAGAAAGTGCACAATTCTCTTAAATTTCAACATACAAATTTACAGAATTTCAAAAATGTGAAGAAACATTGGAAAGTTAAGAAGGGATACATTATACAATCTGTTAAGGAACAATGAGAATCTGTAGAACAATTAGATGCTAAAAAAGTAGCTAATAAAAAGAACCGCAACTTATATTATTTATGGCAGAGGGCAAATTAAACATGAAAAATTTTTTAAAAAAAAACAGTTAGTTGAAAAAGATTTTTGAATAACCTTCACAAAATGCATTGCCAAAAGACCAACAATGATAAGACACAGAACATTAGTAAATTCCTTACTATTAAATTTATTGGTACTTTTCATTTCACCGGCACCAGCGATAAAGTTGCCAAAAATGGTACAACTAAAGACAAATGCAATATCCCTGCTGGTAACCTTTTATGACACATTTCAAAACAAAATGCACCCATTTTTTATCAGATTGATCGTTGATCAGTTCTTTCAATACCTTCAATACAATAACATAGAATTTTTAACAAATAACTCAATTTTATGCCCTAAGGCCATTCATGGTAATTAAAGTCAATTAGGGTGCAATCACACCACTCACCCGAAGGTGAAAATATGGAAAAGGCAAGTCAAGGTTAAATTCATTAATTCTAATGATAATGCACTAGTGAAGTAAAGCGGAGTAACTATGGTGCAAATTGAACATAATTCTTGCATTTAAACTTCTTTTATAAGATTCCATATTAAGATTTAACTTAAAATTAATGTAGATAAGAATTAGAGAATGTAGAGAGAGTTAGATTTTTGTAGTGTAGTTTACGTGAGATGAGATAACTTGGGGTCAGGTGATATGAACTGGGGAATCAGGATGTTGTACCATGAAAGCATAGTAAATTCTTAAATTAAACGTCTCTTTTCCTCAAATTTATGTCAAAATTGAATGAAAAACCAATGAAAATTTGGGATATTGCCCAGAATGTTCAGAGGAAGAAGCAGTCAGATTCTTTCAAGTGAAAGGCATTTTGACCAACTAATTGCTATTTGTGATAATAACCATGAAATGAAAGTGTATTTCGGAGACGAAATTCAATGGCGCTGCAACCTTTCAACTTGTCGCATTAAAAGAAGTATACGGAAAGGCACATGATTCGAGTCATCGAAATTGAGTTTCTTGAAGTGTGTGAGGTTTATTTATGGTTGGAGTGAAGAATCAACTTCAGTTAAATAGTGTGAAAAGCAGTTGAAAATCAGTCTCAGAATTCTGGACTGGAATAACTACATCCACAAGGTTTGTGTGAATTCTTTGCTTAAACGTCAGCAGCCGAAAATAGGAGGAACCTGGTGTGATCGTAGAAGTGAATGAAAGTATGTTCACAAAGTGCAAAAATAATGTCGGACAGATTCTAACACAACAGTGGATTTTTGGAGTTAGCCGTAAACAAAGGAGCGCTTCCTTGTGAAGGTGCCAAACCGATCGTGAATATTATATTAAAAGCAAATAAGGAAAATACTGGAAAAGGAACTACAACATATTCTGATTCATGGAAATCATACTGCAGTGAAAAGCTGGAAGGGGAAAGTTTCGAACATTTCAAAGTGAACCATAAATACAATTTTATCGATCTGGAAACTGGAACACGCGCACAAAAAATAGAAAAGTGTGGGGTAGCACCACATGGCGAAATAAGAAACACAGAGGAACGCCATGCCATCATCTGGAAAGTTATCCTGCGGAATTTATGTAGAGAAGGGAAACAAAAGACCCATTTGAAAAAATTTTAAACGCTACTAAAATGTTTATGCCTCCAAAGTAAAATTTCTTAGAACTAACATTTGTTAAAATTTTTTATGTGCATACTGCGTGTTATCGCCAATAAAGTCTGTTTGGCGAGATTTGCGCTGGAGAAATGGAAAAGTACCAATTTATTTTAGATTCTGTGATATAAAATTTTAAGATCCTGCAAGCTATATTAGTTAATAATAAAAATTCATCTAACATATCATAATAAATTCCCAACTCAAATCTAAATTTCTTGAACATTAAAACAAATGATGTTAGTATGTTTTTTTTTTTTTTTTTTTTTTTGGTAATGAAGTACATGGAAAACAAATACTGATCATAAACTGATTAGATTCTAACTCACTTGTGACAACCCTTAATACCTCTTCAGAATTTCTCATCAAGCATTTTTATTTATTCTATAAAAATCTTAGTTTCCCATAGTATTTCAGACTAACTTTGAAAATATCAGACTGGAACTTTTAATTTTTTACTCGCATATTCTTCTGGAGAATTCTACTTCCAATATTAAATAAAATCTTACTCATGAAAGAAAACTACTTCTTTGGAATTTCATTTACAAAAACTCAGTTTTAAATACAATCTACATTATGAAAACTGTATTGTCTAGTAAAGAAAATTTTTTAGCAAGGTGATGATGAAGTACCTAAAACATTTTCAATACAAAAATGTTTAGTCTGAGTTGATGATATTCCTGATAAACCATATATTAGCTTAATTTAAAGCTTGTACTTCTTCATATGCTTATGCATTATATTTCAATGAATAATTTATGAAAATTAAATTCAAATATGACATACAGGGTTAAAATTATAGTCAAATATTACAAATAAAGCTAAGATAAAGCTGCATGCAAAACAAATTTAAGGCAAATGTTTTGATATTTACTTAACCTAGCTAAATTAATTACTTAAATGATAAACTAAAAATAATTTTAAAATAATATTATAAAAACAAATCTCATATGACTAATAAAATCTTTCTAAAATAAATTTTAGGACTTGTATTCCTACAATAAGTTTTAGCTAAAATACTGTTAATTACTTCTGAACAGTTGCCACAGGAGGAGTATCTATTGACAAATCATTCATATCATCTACATCAGGTGCTGAAGATATTGAAAGATCAGTCAAATCAGAACCAAATCCATCAGTCCAACCACTTTCTAAAAGTATACAAACAATGCATTATATATTTGCTTTAAATCTATGCTTAACTATATTAATTTTACTTGCAAAATACATTAATGACATAGTTCAATATTTATGTTTGAAGACAAATATCGAAGAAAAACCAGCTTCATAAGAAAGTTACTCACGGTAAATAATAATTTAAAGCACAAAACGAAACAATTTGATTACTGCCTTATAAATTGCTTCTTTATTTTTCTAAGCTACTGCTTTCTAATAAAAAAAAAGGGGGAGACAAAGGAAACAGAAAGCAAAAAAAAATTAATAATTATCATTTTAATTAAGAAAAATCCCTTGAAGTCAAAATCATAACTCAAATTTCAGAGTTCAATATTTTGTAAAATATTAATAATAGCAAGAATAAAAAATTTCATAAAATAGCTTTCTTGCTACTAAAAAAATATGATGCTTACACCACATGACTTCCTTGTACGGAAAATTAAATTATACGCATTTTTCTTGCATTTCATTTAAACTTATTGGATTGAATTAAATCTACTTTGCCGATAGCGCATAAAACCACAATAGAAAAAAATGCATTCTTTCAAATTCACTCTAGTATTGTTTACCATAGCGACACTCTGGCGCTATATTCACTTAAACAGTATTATATTTCGTTCATATTATAACTCATAATGCACAAAGTAGCACATTTAAATAATAGAATTATCTAATCATTGCCACATATTCTATTCAAATACTATAATAAAGCTAGAATGATGTATAAAAGAAATTAAGCAAACAAAACAAAAAAAAAAAAGAAACAGTTTTCACAGACGATTGAGTATTTCTCATTCAATTAATTCAGTTCTCACTTCGCAAACAAGGCAAAAAAAATACACAAAAACTCAAAAATATCTATATTAAAAATTACGAAAGTAAATCTTAAAACACTTATTTCCTTGAAAAAATTCCAGGATAAAGCATGATTTAACTGGTAATAATAAATGAAGGCGTTACCTTTGTTGTTGCGAAGCTAAGTTTCTCTATATTGGCAACAAATCCACTAGTCTGTTGTTTCAAATGTAAACAATCAATGGCCGCCATCAAAAAAAGGTTTAGCGGCACTTAAACAATTTAAAATTGTTGATAATTCTAAAAATATTGCATACACATTTTCTTTCATACACATTTTCTAAAAACACATTTTCTTTCATACAGATATACTAAAGGTATAAAAACCTTAACCGGAAGGTTAAAAAACAACATAATTCAATCATTTTTAAAGCAAAAAATGTACAATTTACAAACATATAAGAGTAAAGAAACTGAGATCACTGAGCCGGGTAACAGAGTGGATATTATATATAAATATATTTATATTCGTTTGGTGCGGTCGATTGCAACCAAAATACGAGGTGCACATCTACATGTTATAGCAGTCCTATATACAAAATTTCAATGTTCTGAGGCTACTCGTTTTTGAGTTATGCGAGATACGTACGTACGTACATAGGTTCGTACAGACGCCAAGAAAAATTCTCTTCAGAATTAATTTTAAAGCAGTTTTATAATTTTTTTTGAGGAAACGAGTCTTTTATTCTGTCCTTACGTACAGATATCACGCAAAAACATCATTAAATTGTATTCGATAGCGGTCAAAATGGATATTTTCTTTGAAATATGCTGCCTGAAACTTTTCGCGATTACAATACTTCCTTTTTACTTCGTACAAGGAAGTAAAAAAGGGCTAAAAGAATATTCAATAAGCAGAATTATTATTCAAAATCTTTTAAGTTTCATTTCTAATTAATGTTTTGATTCTCAAATTATTTTACAAAAAAAAAAAAAAAAAAAAAAAAAAAAAAAAAAAACAATAAGCAAATTTAAAAAATACTGAATCTTTTGCGGCAAAATTTATAAAATGGATCAAATAATCATACTTTTATAGGTTTAAAAATCAATAATTATAATAAGAAAAAATTATAAGAAACAAAAATATCAACATAAAACAAGATAAAAAGAAAGAGTTTCAATTCAATAATAAAAGTACAAAAGACATCAATTGGTTATAATCAAATCTTCCTTTTTACTTCCTTATATGAAGTAAAGGAAATATTGTAATTGTGAAAATTTTTATATCATATTTCAACGAAAATATCCATTTTGACTGCTAATGAATACAATTTAGCTATTGAATACAATTTTAAGGATGTTTTTGTGCGACATCTGTACATAAGAACAGAATAAAGGATTCTTTTTACCTAAACAGGTTGCAAAAAGGGTTTCAAATGGATTCAGAAGAGATTTTTTTTAGTGGCGTTTTTTATGTATCTACATATCTTGCACATTAAAAAATGAGTAGAATCAGAACATTGAAATTTTTGTATATAGGACTGCTATAATATGTAATTGGGCAATTTGGGCAATTCCCTTTTTGGTTGCAATCACCCACACAAAAAGTATATAACTATATATATATATATATACCCACTCTGTTACTCTGCTCCGTGAGCTCAGTTTTTTTTTATTCTTATATGTTGGTAAATTTTTTTGCTTTAAAAATGATTTAATTATGTTGTCCTTAATTAAAGTTTTTATGCCTTTAGTTAATCTGCATGCAATAGTTGTAGAATTATCAACAATTTTATAGTTGTCTAATTTTTTTTACCATAGATGCCACATTTGTTTATATTTGAAACTTAGCAGAATAATGAATTAAGTCAGCTTCTACACCTTCAGTGTCTTTTCGCCTACTGGGGCCAAAAGTAAACTTTCAGTTTTGCGCACTGAAAAATCTGCCCTCTTGCTCACTGGCCAAATTGCTTGTTTTTGCATAGACATTCTAATTTTAGTTGTAAAAAGTGTTTTTTTTTTAAATTGTTTTAACTGTATTTAGTGTTTCATATTTTTCAATTTTTGATAAAGATATTTTGAGGTTTTATGTATTTTTTGCCTTGCCGCAATTTAGAACCGAATTAATTGAATGAGAACTATATCTCTAATGAAATTCGAGGAAATGTATAAATGAAATGCAGCAAAAAAAAATGTATAATTTAATATTCCGTACAAAGAAGTCGTGGTGTACATATCAGATATTTTTGGGGGGGGGGATAATGCAAAGCAATTAAATAATGCTATCACTGAAACAAGGAGGGGGGTGGAATAAACACCATTGTAAGTTTGTTTGTTTTTTTTTTTCTTTTCATGTTCACAGTAAACATGTAAGATATGAAACCATTAAATTGAATTAGAAAAGCATTAACATTTATATTAGTCACCTCAGTTTTATTCAAGTACATTTTAGTTCATATCAGTTAGCAGTAATAATACTACATTACTGGATTCAGATTTCATAATACTGAATTTCTCAGTTCATATACTATTAAAGAAATATTTTAGATATTCTGATGTATAATGTAAAATACACATATTTAAATTACACAGTACATAAATTTTATGCATACCTTATAATTAAAAACAGAATAGTGAAACAGAATCTCCAGATTTTATCCTCAATTTGCACTGGTGAAAACATGATAATTACAGTCAAAAAACGTTAATCCGGACCTCAAAGCTACAAACTTTCTGCGCATGAGTCAATGCATAACGTGTCACGCACGCGCATAATACGTTTACGCATGCACGTT